ATTTATAAGTGGTTATTATGCAAACTGTCCACTTAAAATGGAGTTACGAAATGCATTCAAGATTACTCGATAAGTCAATAGATTAACTGAAGTGTTTATTGGCCTAAATCTTTAAGATAAATATATCGTAAACAAATAGGCCTTAGTTATTTTTAATGTACTCTGTAATCTAGTTGTCAAGTCGTGGTGGCGTAATGGCATCGGCCGGTAAACGAGACGGATCACCTGATGGTGGGTGATGCCGATTCGGAGTCGCGGAGAACCTAACGGGTTACCGGGGCGCCGGCTAAAACGCAGCTTAATGGGCGCCGCCCATAGACACTCGCAACACTAGAGTAATTACTGCGTTGCTTTAATTTTAGGGATTAAAAATTTGGGGGATGGTGGAAACGAGGACAGGTTCTGCAAAAGTATATTATTATGTTATTAATTTTGATGGGTCGACGTTTACCCACTATCTCGCCTGGTGGTAACTTTAATGACCTATCGTCGAGTTTATTTGACCTACTCGAATCGATACATCAGCGCGACCTATAATTATTATTTTTTATGGCTTAAGCCGGTAAACGAGCAGACGGATCACCTAATGGTAAGCAATCGGCGTCGTCCATGGATACCTGGAACACCAGAAGCGTTACAAGTACGTTACTGGCCTTTTGGGGATTAGGAGTTTGAGGATCGTTGGGGATTCAGGAATTGGCGAGATTAGGGAAGGGGAGGGTAATTGGGCCTCCGGTAACCTCACTCACACGACGAAACACAACGCAAGCGTTGTTTCATGTTGGTTCTCTGCTCGGCCGTGGTATCACTCCGGTCGAACCGGCCCATTCGTGCCGAAGCATGGCTCTCCCACACTTAATTATACCGTGTGATGACAGCGAAATCATCAAGCTAATATCATAAGACACTACACATTAGACAGAGACTGTGCAGCAGCGCTCTCTGATAAATCTGAACCTTTTATACTGCGACCTCCAACCCGCCTGCCTGCGGAGATTGTGACAAACCCTCTTATGTAGAGGAGACTCATAGTGCAGCAGTGGACTGTCATGGTTGATGTTAATATGTAGTTAAAATCTAGAATAAAGCTCTTTTCAATGCTTGTATAGTTTAGAACTATCAGTAAATAGAGTGTGACCGGATACCGCGGAATTATACAACTGTAGACACATGTTATATATAATTATAGTTTATTTATAAACATTTTACATCGATCTAAGTAAAGTAAAGGATGTTGATATGAAAACTGAAATGTAATTAACTATGTCATAATACATTACAATGACAACAAATGATTTAGCAAACAATAGGTATTATATATACTATTATGTAAAAATAAACAAATTATGTTACGATTTATTGCATAGTACAATGCATTCAATTATTTTTTGTAATATGCTGAGTATATTTTATCTGTAGTCGGGAGCAAAGACACAGAGCCGCTAAAGATTTTTCTCTTTCATTTCTTGATAAATATTTTCTAATTTATGTCGTACTAGCTTTTACCCGCGGCTTCGCTCGCGTCACAAAAGGATAAAAAGTAGCCTATGTGACATATACCAATACACACATCGCAATCTATACCAATAATTTCTTTTTCCCTCGAGAATATCAAATTTTTCCGGGATAAAAAGTACCCTATACTACTATTTAATCCTGACTTCTAACTTTATGTCTACAAAATTTCAAAGCAATCGGTTTAGTAGTTACGGCGTGAAAGTAGAACAAACAAACAAACTCACTTTCCGATTTATAATATTAGTAAGGATGACGTCGTGGGAGACACTCCCGGCGTCGGAGATCGCGGGACGGTCTCCAGCCACCGTAAGTGCGGGTCTGCGGACAGCCAGCAAGGGTAGCTCGATGCCCGACCAGAACCAGACTCGTTCCGCGTGCGCCTCTAAGATCCATCGAACCACCACAAATGGGGCCCAATAGGGCTGATGCCGATACGGAGCCGTGGAGATTTAACTTACCGGGGCTCCGGCTCGAAGTGCAGGAGTAGGAACGGGATGGTTTTTAGTCAGTAAGAGTCTGACCCGCCTCACCCAGGCAGAAGATGTAATTCGATGATCCCCCGAGACACCCCCATTAAAAAGTGTATAAAAGGCGATTTAGTTAGGTTAATCAAATATTATGCCGTGGTGGCCCGAAGGTTTAAGACGCCCACTTCTCATGCATGAGAGTGTGGGCTCGAAACCTACCAACGGCAAGTACCAATGTGACTTTTTCCGAGTTATATGTACTTTCTAAGATTATTTAGACACCACTGACAAACATCGTGAGGACACCTGGGCTTATCATTTGTAATTATAAGTTTGAAATCGCCAACCCGCATTGAGCAAGCGTAGTGATTAATGCTCAAACCTACTCCGTGTGAGAAGAGACCTTTGGTCAGCAGTGGACACTTATAGGCTGTTGATCACGATGATATATAGGTGATAGCAATCGACTGCCTCGCTGGTCGAGTGGTCGCAAGTGCGACTGCCGGGCAAGGGGTCTCGGGTTCGATTCCCAGGTCGGGCGAAGTATTACTAGGTTTTTAAAAATTCTCTGTAGTAGCACGGAGTCTGGAATTGTGCCCAATATAGGCAATAGGCTCACCCCCTATTACATGGGACTCATAACATAAATAGTGATAAGTGGGTGTTACATTGTACAGTGGTATAATCTACACCTCTGCCGTGATGTTATGTTATATTATGTTATGACGCTGGGGTGGGTCGCTCAACTTTGTATCACATTTTTACTACTTTTAAGTGGATCTAAAAATAGGCTATATCACCATCAGAAGTAAAGAGATAGTTATACAAAACGTCCGAACAAACAAACTACTATTTACGTCATCATAACAAAAACTGTGACTAACTGTTTGTTAGCGATAAACTTGTAAAATACTGGACATTATGGCGATAAGGTCTTAACTAATGGATACAGCAATTAATGTTAATGGCAAACATTTTTGTTATAGTATAAATAAATACAAACGAAATTTAAATCATCGTATGATAACAACAGAGTAAGAAAGAAAGAAACTGTATTTCACGCCAAAAAACAAGTGACATGCACAGGCGTGTCTTAGTAGGTACTGATTTTTTTAAGGGGGGAAAATCTTCGAATGTCTGCTACCGCCTAGGTGAGGCGGGAGGGAGTGTCAGACTCTTACTGACAAAAAACCACCCCGTTTCTTCTGCGCTTCGAGCCGGAGCCCCGGTAACCCGTTAGGTTCTCCGCGACAAGTAGGTACTGATGGATACATGTTCATGTCACAAGTCTGCTGTGAAATGGGACCAGTTCAGCATGTGCAAGACAGGGCCTCGCGCTGGTATTCTACTGGCCCCTTAAGTGACTCGCGGATGAACAAGCCACCAATTAGACATTAACAGTTTAGATGAAATTAATTAATTAAATAAACACGAGTAGTACATTTGACATCACCGTCACCGCTACTCCTCACGTGGGTGTCATATACCCGACTGAGGGACTACACATTAGACAGAGACCGTGCAGCAGCGCTCTCTGATAAACCTGAACCTTTTATACTAAGATCTCCAACCCGCCTGCCTGCGGAGATTATGACAAACCCTCTTATGTAGAGGAGGCTCACAGTCTGACTGAGTGACTGGTGCGGGGTGCCTGCTCGGCTAGCGGAGCGGGTTCTGAACGTGTCAATATTTTGTTTTGACGTACAAAAGTGCCTTCCTGGGGGCTTACTCTTGAATCCAATTCGACATTGATATTGTGTCGTACTCTTGAGTCGCAACACTAGCGCCCATTGCATCCGTATTGCGTGGATATTGAATGAACTAAATGGTATTGAGTTTGTCTTTATATTCCGTACTCTGAATGCTATTTTAACAGCTACGATTGTGGCTGTAAAGTGTTGACATTGAATAATTATTGAGATATTATTGGATTAAAATTGCATTGACATTGAGATTGGTTTCAAGAGTAAGCACCCTGGGCGCTTACTCTTGAAACCAATCTCAATGTCGATTGAAATAAATAATTTTGACTTTGACTTTAACTTTGTGGCGAGAGACATATTCTCACACGGTACAACTGTGTAGCGGGTTAGATTCCCGAACGGAACAACTCTTTGTGTGATCCACAAATTGTTGTTCCGAGTCTGTGTGTCATGTGTATGTGAACTTGTATGTTTGTAAACGCACCCACGACACAGGAGAAAATTCTAGTGTGGGGGGCAACGTAAAAAAAAAGCAAATCTCTTATAAACACCACGTAAGCGTTGTTACACGCCGTTTACTATCGGCAGTGGTATCACTCCGGGCGAGCCGACAAGCAATACCGAAAGATGACATCCCCACGTAAAAAAAAACATTGCCACGACAAAAAAAGTCACCAAATTCATTACTATTAATTATTATTTTATTATTCATTATTATTATTATTTTTATTTCTTTTATTTAATTACCTAATTACTTTGTTTTTAAGTACCTAAATAATACCATATAATAGTATAACTTAATGGCGTAAGTTGTAATGTTATATATGTAAATATTTTAAATAAATAATAATTACAACTGACCTATGATTTTATTACTAGATAATGTTTTGAACCTATTGAAATAGTTATAGTTAAGTACTAATAATTAAAAAGAGGACACATTTTATTCTATTTGCGCCGAAATAAAAAATCCGATTTTTAAAATTCTTCCACCGTTGAAGCTTACTTTTACTAATACAGGCTACTCTCTATAAATCCCGATAACACAACCAAAGCAGTTGATGTTTAAATCTTTTTAATTGTAAATAGGAACAACAATAAACATGTTATTAATTTTTAACTAACACAAATAACAGGAAAAACATGCAAATAATTAACAATACTCTACTTTATGACTAGCTCTGCAAAAAATATAAAGCAAGCTGCACAAACATACCTAAATTCAAATGCGTAAGATTTTAAATTAACTAGCTAGCGCATCATGATTCATTTATTCATAATTTACTACGAATTTACAGTTAATAATACTCACAAAATATTGCCGTGTGCCACTACATGAATTCCCCCAACGGAATTGGATATAAAATATATTATTTACTACGATTTTCTTAGTTATTTTGCTCACAACCGCGCCGCAGCTTGTACAAAATCAAACTGATAGCAAAATCATCAAAACAATTTGATTTGACTGACTGACAATGTCAGTCTCATTGACATTTCAATAGCGCTCTTTAATTCATTCGTTCTTTTGTTCAGTGTAGTCACGACATAGATAACGAATATATTCAGTCGGTAAGTCGTGAAAATACTTGATTATATGTGTTATATTTAATAAGTTTATCACGTTGTATAAGAAATTAGATAATATCGAGATTATTTTTGATTCAAAACATAACATTATCATGTAATCGGCAAATGATCATGTAAGTCGATCAGACTTATCGATTATGATTAAAACGAATAAGTTCCCACGTCTCTAGTAATGTCAACCTTTGACATTGACATTTGACATTTGCTGGTATTGTTTTGAATTTGATTCCGCCGGTTTTATTCACAAAAATCATCGAAGAATTGGAATAAAACACAATTGAAGTCTTCCAAATAATGTCTCACATTTGGACATTTGCACCTGAATCACAATCATTACTTCAGCGCTGTTTAAACGCCGCTTCACCGCCAGATCCAAGTAACAAATGGTTGCAAAAGTTCGGTCCACAAAACTTGGAATTAATTAACAAAACTAATGAAACTATAATCGTAAATGATTCTCCAGAAATTGATGGCATTACCACCACACAAGAAAACGCAGATGAAAGCACCACATATGATATAGAACAATTTTTGGGCCCGGAAACCGACATACTGGCAAAGATAGACGAATTGGTTGAACAATGTCTTAAAACTCCAAACGTACTTGTGAAACTTGCTAAAACCTTATCAACAAATACAGCTGAGACGTTAATAGAATATATTTTAACCACAGAAGAGTTAAAAACTCATTTTCAATCAATATTTTACAAATACTTCATACCTACTTATGTAAAGCGCGAAAACTCAAGATTTTGTACGGATCTTCTATTAAAAACTCACGAAAAATATCCTCAGTTACTCAAAATTACATTTAAAATTATCTTAAAAGACGTAGAAATAGAAAATAATGTAATAAATAACTTTTTATTGAATTTAAATAGCGATGAACTAACAGAGTTCCTAGAATTCATGTCAGACTTAGATTTTAGCCCTGAACAGAACACTCATAACTTATTCAACATATACACAGCTTATAAATCATGTAACAAGACAGAAAATGTGCAAAATTATATATTTTCTGTACTAAAAAATTGTAACCATTTCAGTTCAAGCGATAAAAACTATGGTAAAATAATGTTAGAGTTTTTAAAACAAGAAAAATGTTTAAAAACAATTATAGATGTTATGTTAATAGAGGAACTTGTTGAAAGACATAAGACTCCTTTTAAAAAACCGTGTTTGTCTATACTGAATGAAATGAAGGGTATTAAATAAATTAAGAATATTTCGTTTTATTTTGTGATTTTTCCCCAAAAATGCTAATACTGATTGTCTTCAATTAACTCCTTGGCACCACCCACGGGAATGCAGGCTAAGCTACTGGCCTGGTAGAAGCTAGTGAACCATAAATGAATAATGTTTGTTTTTCAAATTCGCAATAACAGTGTCTATGAAATTAACTTTACAGTGTCCATTACCCAGGCCAAATGTAGTCGAAAATAGTAATTTGAATCTTATAGATAATTAGTTGTGTGGATTTGTAATTGTTGCGCACTTTTTTAAATTTGTTGCGCTTATAATTTTTAATTATTTCACAAAAACATTTCCTACTGGGGTAACGCTATAACGGTTGTTATAACGTTAACGGTATACGTTGTAACTGTAAACTAATTATCTATAAGATTCAATTGACCATTTTCGACAATATCTGGCCTGAGTAACGCACACAACTTTACATACTAATTTGGACTACTACTATAGAATTTACATACATACATACATAACTTCACGCCTGTCTCTCATGGGGGTTGGCAGAGACTATGGAATGCCAATTACTACGATTCCTACATACCTCTTTCGCTTCATTAACAGTCATCAATCTTTTCATACATGCTCGTCGGTTAAGGGTACTTTTAATTTGGCTCTTCTTTAATATGTCGCCAATCTGGTCAGTATATGTCCGTCTAGGACTATTAGAATTTAATTCAGTGAATTTAGTTGCTCTAGGATTGTCTCCTGTGTCGAGGGTACGTACAAACATATAAGTTCACATACACATCACACACAGACCTGAAACAACAATTTGTAGATAACACAAAGAGTTATTCCGTGCGGGAATCGAACCCACTACACGTTCCACGGCAACCAGTTGCCCAGCCCAGCAAATATTATTTTTAAATATGACATTACAACATTGACGGCCTATTTTTTTTTTTTTTCCACACAGGAATCGAACCTGCGATAATTACGACTATACAGTGTTGTCCAGTGTCAGAACAAGGTTTGTATGGAAGTTACTGGAAGTAACATTAGACTAATTCACCGGGACATAGGCAGAAGCGGATTTAACTACTATCTTTTTTTTAAGGGGGGAAATCATCGGATGACTGCACCCGCCTGGGCGAGGCGGGAGGGAGTGTCAAACTCTTACTGACTAAAAACCACCCCGTTCCTTCTCCTGCACGTCGAGCCGGAGCCCCGGTTACCCGTTAGGTTCTCCGCGACTTAACTACTATCTAGGTGACATTAAGTAATAATAATCAATCTCCAACCAATCAATCAATTTCCAACGACTTTTCTATATTTGTACGCTGACAAAAGCTAACATAGCGATTATAAATGTTATTTAACTCGTCGAGTACCGTCAATATAGACACAATTATAGAACAATAGGTTGCGGTCACCGGTGACCGCTTGGTGTTTGACAGTTTAAGACCCTAATAATAGTTATTACCTATGTTTACAATTAATACATGAGGAGGCCCAATTACCCCCCTCCCTAGTCCCCGTCTCCCGAATCCTCCACAATCCTCAAATTCCCAATTCCCAAAAGGCCGGTAATGCATTTGTAACGCCTCGTTGTTTCGAGTGTCCATGGGCGGCGCCGATTACTTACCATCAGGTGATCCGTCAGCTCGTTTATCGGGTTATGCTATAAAAAGAAATGAATTTGAATTTAGAGTGTCTTAGGCGAGCACCTCATAGACGCCCATAATTTCTATTGGCGTCGCCGCCACTATGGGCAGTAAGGCACGCGCATCTTGCGGCTTTCCTCTGTAAGTAACCTGGCGCCAGGGCGTCTACTATTTTGTGATCTGACTAATAATGACTGCCTCGTTGGCCGAGTGGTCGCAAGCGCACTGGAATCTAGTAGTACTTAACTACTAATTATTTGACGTTTGTGTCTAATATTTTGCAATTAAAGAAGCTTGTATCTAGTATTTTAGATACCAATGTCAATATTATTTTGTATCTGGTATCTGAAATACTTAATTTAAAAGTATCTTGCATTTTGTATTTCAGATACTTTGTATTTTGTATGTTGTACATCAGTGGTGGTCTTCATTATGCCCCATTATCAGACATAAATATAGATAATTTGAAGGTATTTATTGCCATATTGCTGTTGGTGACCCTCTAAATAATTAAATGGAAAATGAGAACCCCAATTAACACAGACAGAATAAAAACTTATTTATTATAATTTTATTAAATCTATTTAGTATATGATCTCTTTGCTTTCTGTTCAGCAGCGTCACTAGCTTGTACGAATGTGCGTTTCAATTTGTTTCTCCTACTCTCTCTGTATTTCGCTGAAACCTTTTCTGATAGCTTGGCTATCCGCTTCATTGTTGCTGGGGGGTATCTGAAAATAAAGAAATTAAGGTTAAAGTTTTTTTTTCCCTTGGCAACTGAGTCTCCAATATGATGTTGTAAGGTTAAAGTTATAAAGACTGCTGTAAAATTTGTTATAGTAGGGGAGCCCATGAAGGGATTTCGGTAGATACTCGAGCGCGTCAGATTAACATATGGAGAAAACCTAGTGTCATGTTGAATATACCCACCCACCATATATCCGATCTGATTAGAAGGGGGGGACGAAAAATAAAAAAAAAGTCTGACTTAATATAGTCAGTTTCGTCAGATTAAGGGAAGGTAGGTCAATACCATGCTAAAGTGTGTTTGAAAAATCTGCCCATTCCTACTTGATTTGCACGAGTGGGGGGATTTTGAAGGGTTCTCGTTTGTACTCTCCAGAACATTCAACCCCACCATGCAAACTGGCAGATTAAGAGTTTTTTATTATTCAATACACATGGAGCATGTACACTATCAATATCAGACACGCTCGACCACCAGAACAAAAGTTACGCTTAACAATTTCAAAGATCTGTGGATTCCCCCTTCCCCCACTGGTGGAAGAAATTGTCACTAAACCATTTCTTCTTTCTATCAGCATATCTTCAAAAACCAGTAGGTCCCAACGACGCTCAAGTAAATCCAAATTTAGCATCGTGGGCTCCCCTACTATTATGGGCTAAATTCCCTTTCAAAGTCAAAGTCAAAATCATTTATTTCAATTAGACCAGGAAGGCACTTTTGAACGTCAAAACAAAATATTTAAATATTAAGAAAAAATGTCAGACTGTAGATCAGTTTTCTAGTGAAGCTATTTGCTTGTTCCAAGGTGTAGATTCCTATGGAGAAGAACAAGCAAGAAACTCCATAGGTTACTCTTTTTCAATCATGTTCACAATACAATTTTTGGTTACATTATTTCATTGAGTTCAATTATGTAAGAACAATGTACTACCAATATTTGGTCAAGGAGACGGAAAAACAAAATATAAATATTTATTCATAGTGTACATATAGTAAATAGCCGAGTGAGTAGGTTGCTTATGGGACGACGTGCTCCATCGTAGGCTACAATCATGGCATACAAATAGGCGAGATAGTGGTCCAACGTCGGCCCATCAAATATAAAATAAAAAAACATTTATTTTCAGAGCTTTATTAGTCAGTGGGTCGTTTTAGGGGCAATTTTTATTTAATACATACATACACGCCTGTCTCCCATGGGGGTAGGCAGAGACTGTTAACGCCAATTGCTACGATTCCTACCTACATACCTCTTTCGTTACATCAACAGTCATCAATCTTTGCATGCATGCTTCTTTTATTTAATACTTAAACATTATGTTGTTACGTACCGACATCCCAAAAACTCAATATTTGTAAACAATTGCGCTAAAGTAATGAGTTCACCCTCTTCAAAGTCATCCTTGTGTTCCTCCATGAAATTCCGTCTTACTTCCCATTGTTCGTCAGATTCATGTTCCGTACGTAACGAGTCGATATCTATTGTTGGTTTCATTTTGGTTTTTCTATTGCATTTACAGCGAATTTTATAAAATCGAGTCGAAGTCAAGTCAAACTGTGTCTCATAAAATGACAGATTATTTTTTTTATTTTTGTTTGGCCTTTTGACAGCTGGCTTCGTTCCAATTTACGCAGATGCTAGTTTTCGTTGTGAATAGTAACATATTTGTTGATTATTCATTTAAAAATGTCAAACAGCCTGCTACTATAACATATTTTTGTTGATTATACTGTTGAAGCCTTTTGTTTGTCTTATCTGAATTTAATAGAGAGATCCAGTGATCTGGATTAAAATCTGAACTTCAAAGTTCAAATCTGTTTTTCTACCGTAATATTTACTTGTAGAGAGCTAGCAACATTATTATTGACGTATTACCGTACCAAAATGAGAAGCTCTCAGTAAAATCCTTGAAGATTCCATTGCAAGTTGTATTTTGTTGACTACTAGCGCCATATTTACATCTACATAATATAATCAAGATACAATTTAAATTGATCGAGCTGTACACAGAGAAGTTCAACAAATTGTCAATCAGTTTTTTTGTTTAGTCAAAATATTTATAATTCATAGTAATCTGAGGGTAATCATAATAAGAAAATGTGTTTAACTGCTTTAATGTGATATAAAGCGTAAAACTATGTGTTGAACGAGCCGCCAGGAATTGAGAAAGGTAAAATACAATTATTCATTCACTAAAACAATTTTCTTTGTTAACGAAAATAATTAATTCGTGTTTAATTGTCTAACAGATAGATTAATCAAAAATAAACTGGAGAAACTTTCTAATTGCCGTCGAGAACAACAACAACGCTGGCAAAATGGCGTTTTCAATACGTAAAATGTTTTCAAATATATCGTATTTTTCGAAATCTGGTGAGCAGAGTCAATCTACTGAACAACCAGTACTCGAAAGCGTAGCAAGTACTTCTTCAAGGCCTGAGTCGTCACAGAACATAGAATTTATATCTATCGAACCAGATTCTACGTCAAAACCCCATGCAACAAGTCTGAAACTCCCAACATCAGTGAAAAATTTTGCAGCGAAAAAAGGTTCCTTGTCTGATACCGACCTCCTTAACATCGACGAGGTTACCACTAAAGGCCGCAAATCAAAAAGCCGCAGTTTGAAAATAGACATAAAACAAGCTAGCCGCTCTATGAATGAATCTTTGTACCAAGGAGACCGCCAACACAATGAAAATACACCCCCACACATCTCCTTAGACTGTCAGAGCGCTAATCTCTTCAGTCAGAGGTTCAAACAGCTTAACTTCAGTCAGTCTTTCGAGTTTGACATATCAACGGAGTCCGATGAGGAGTTAGATATTGAATCTTTATCCGAATGCTCCGACACGGATCTTTCAGGTAAAGAAGACAAAAAATCAAGGGTCAAAATGTGCCGCAAAGTTGAAACGACCAGTGAAAACCAGTTGGTGCGTTCAGGAACTCCTGAATCCTTCGGTGATGTCGAACTAGAAAGGAATGAAGAAGAACGAGTCTCCTTGTTACTCAGTTACCAGTTGAAGTTGGAAAAAATTGAGTGTGTTCTGCGAAAACTGCTTGCTGAATTCCAATTTCATATTGAAGTAGCCAAAGTATTCACCTGTCGGTCTTTTGTTACAATGTTACCTGGTACGGACCTTTCAGAGATCCCGAAGATGTTTGGTCAAGTTACATATATTGATCATGGGGACCGGAACAGCCCAGTGGAGGCCTGGAACTTTGTGATAGACAAGCAGGATGATGAAACGAAGTACAAGTTCCGGAAACAAATGCTTGGTCTGCGAAACTCCCTAGATACTTTTGTTGGGACCTACTTGCAAGAGGAGAAGATGAAGCCTAAAGCAGTATTCCGACGCACCATCACATTCGACCTTCATAAAGGCAAGCGCATACACAAAACTGCGAAAGTCACCAATAAGAAGCGGATCAAACACTTTGATTTCCCTGATTACCGAGATGCCTTCCTGAATCTCTTCAAAGAGGCTAAGTTTGATGAAACTGACACTCATTTAGACCATAGCAGTGATGAGTCTGATCACAAATGCTCCTGTCAGTGCCATAATCACTCCATCAGCCAATCAGACTCCGGTTTGGCGTCAAAGGAAAGCATGTCCAACCAATCCATCACGTCTTCCATCGGAAACTTCAGTTTAGATTCAACTACTCTATCTGCCTTCTCTGAATCTCTAGATCAAGTGATCAGCTACAACAGTTTTGAAGATTCAACGCTGTTCAATACTCTTCAGCAAAAACCTGCCATCGAGCGCATTACATTCTACGTACAAGTCCATAGCATACAGATCCGAAGTGAATTGGACAATGATGAATGCAAGACTGCCATCACATTCTTCTGCCCAGCTTGTTCCATCACAGAAGTTGAAGAAGATGGTCTTTTGAAGCATATTTTGAGCCAATCTCACTGCGAGAAGATTCATTTCTTGTACAAAAGTGTCTATATCAAGAAGTGTGTGGCTGCCGGCAAGGAGATCCAACCGAGTACTGTTCTGAATCCAATGACAATGTATCGGGATGATAACAAGATCATTTGCTTCGGGGATGCTGTGTATGCCTGCTCATTGTGCTTTGAAAATCCAATAGTGGGCGAATCTATTCTAATGGCCCATTGCAGCGATGAAACGCACGCAGACCGCAGAGAGAAGATGTACGAATTGTTTGATTAAAGAAGCTATCGGTGATGTATCTTTTTATCTCTTTTCTTCTATAGATCAGTTCTTCCTTCTCTCTCTGTTTCTATACGACTGTGAATGCATGCGTTTGGTTTAGCAATTTAAAAGCGAAAGGGCTGTGTTATTTTGTCCTGCTATGCAATTATTTTAGTTTCAAATCGCTGGCGATGTTTTAATTGTGATTTCTTTTTTGTATTTGTCTGGAAACTTATGTTATACGCAAAAGCTCTTTCGCTTTTAATATTTATAATTGTAGTTAGTGTAGGAATGACATTTATTTAAAAAAAAAACTCTCATTTGTATATTTTTTTTACTATTTTTCCGTTTAATTTTTACACCTGATTGAGATCCTTTTTTCGTTTACTTTTTGTCCTTTTTGTGCGTTTACAAAAATCGACATAATTTTCGTTGTTTTTTTTTTTGGAATTTTTATGTATTATGAATTTATTAGTGAGGGGGATTTTTGAAAAAGGGTGCTTTTGAATCCACGTAGTGCAATACCGCATATTGTGTTCAGGAATGTCCATTGTCGCAGTTTAGTGAAATAATGATAATTAAAAACCATGTTTCTAGTGTTTCGCTTTTTCGTATAAAGTTAATATTTCGACACCGTCCTTCGCGATTCTTGTTTTTCATTTTTTCTCATTCTTTTTTGTCTTGTAAACTGTTTAAAATGTTGCGTTATTTTTTGTTCTATCTGACCATAAAATATTTTCATTGTTTTATTTATTAACACATTTATTATAGAGTAAGAAACAATAAAGTAAAGTTTAATTCATTATTTTGAATTTTTTGAAATGCGTGATTTAAACTCTGTTGTTTTAAAGACCACATTGAACTGTGTGTGCCGGATGTCATACTAACAGCTATTGTATAAAATACTGGTTGACATTTGTTCTGTTTTCACTAAAATGTTTCGTCTTTTACTGTTATTTTTTTGTTTAATAAACTAAACGATATATTAACATACTAATTTTCGCATTTATTTACTAAATTATTAACAGAAGTAGACATTTAAAAAAGTTTAAAACTTTTTACGAAAAAGCGAGGCGACGACAAGAAAACATATTTCAAAAACAGGGTGTTATGAAGACTTTGTACATCATTTTTTTTGTATTTAGCATAACTTTTAGCTCTTTCATAATTAATTTACAATTAATTAGTAATCGTAAGCACATTTTAATCTAACGTCTCGATTATAATCCTAATTATAAGTTTCAAACTAATTTATAAGTTTAGGAAATTTAAAATACGAACTTTGCAAATGTTATAGACTGATTTTTCTCATTTTTTTTTTATTGAAAGCGATGATATATTATTTTTTAGCCTAATATTTTAACGTTTCTAGATTTTCAATTTGTTGATTCATTTTGAGTTCTATTGGTTTTATAATAAGAGCTATAATAGCTGCATAAAACTGTTGTGTTGCACAAATTTATTTTTGCTTCCACCATCGTTCTTATGTCCTTAAAATAGGGCTCAATATCAATTAAATAAAATGTAAACGAATAGTCATCTTGCGAGAACTCCAAATGCAATATTAGAATATGATTTAAAACTTTGTTGCTTTCATTCTAAATATTATTGCTTTTTTGTTAAAGGTCAAAATTAACTTGAAAAGTTTAAAAAATACCTGGACTGAAAGTCATTTAGCGCATAAACTGAAATAAAATAGATTCATAAGTTTAAAAATATAGTTTTTATCTATTATTTTGTACTTGGAAAGGAATTAAAAACCTCTCGTTTGTTTAAAATAATATTGTAAATTTTGTAAAGCTTAAATATCTAATAAATAAAATGTTTGTATCTTAGATGACAATTGTAATAATATTCAACGGCGGCCCGGTAGCTGACCCGGCGAACTTCATACCGGCTCAATACTTTTTGTCACCCTTTAAACCCTCCGTAAATAATTGCAGACTAGAATTAAACAAATCAGTTCATTCGTTTAGCGCTTTAGCGAGACTAACGAACAACATTTATATTTGCCATAATTGTAAATAAGCATTGCTTTTGGTAATAATTCCTTTAAGTTTGATAAATGTTAAAATAGTGTCTCTAATTCCTTTTCAAGTACAAAAGACCCATAAATTTAGTCAATAGCATGTTTTACTGATCTCGAATTGCCTCAATTTAGAAAAGAAATCCTAAAGACTGATTATTTGCCATTAGATCCAAACGAAATACGTTTTTAACCACGAAAAATAATAATAAATCAATTAAATTGGTAAAAATAAGAAAAATATTCCCGTACATTTTTAAGTAGTCTTATAGACAATCTCGTTGAAATGTTGTCATATACTTGGCTGCTTGAGGAGGCTTCCCGAGCCGAGTAAAGAGTTAGTAATTTGCAAAATTCTCAGTGATTGCCTACTCTGGGATTGTGTCCGGAAACAGTGAATTTTATACCAAAAAACTTGAAATCCCCACCCATTTAATAGTCAAATCAAATTTGGCCGATGTTTGGAATATTTGAAGTTTTATACTGTGATAAATAAATTTATTTTACGTCAAAAAATATAGAGAATTACGTTTTTAAGGAACACCTCTTTTTATAATTTCGTTTTTCTTATTTTTACTCATTTTTTTATTTTATTTTTTTGTAATTTTTAACCATCTCGCCAGCCGCCTAAGTTAATAATAATATAATTAAGAATAATTTAGTGATTAACGTAATATTAAAATAATTAAATATGTGTAATCGCGTATTTATATTTAAGCGGCATTATATACATGGTACATTTAGATTAAATAATCACATATACGTATTTATTATAGTAAATGAAATACTTGTCTAGAAAATCTGTGAAAGAGTTAATAAACTTATTATTATAATAAAATTATCGTTGAGCAAAATACTATGTTTGGGAAAAACAACGAAACATATCGAGAATAGCTAGTAGTGTTCCGACAAATTCCGTCTATAACTCAGTGCCAAAAATTATCAATAATTGCTCAGCTTTTTATGTGTTAGTCAAACAAAGTTTCATTTGTATTTAGTCTTATAATATTTGCTTTTTCATGATGGTTTCATTAACTCTTTCATAGGGTATAAAACAAAAATTTTAAATTAGAGACGAAAATAATTTCGGCACTAACCGACAGAGTTATAAAACTGCACAACAATAAACGAATTAAAGTTTAAAAACCAGTTTAAAAATGTTTAAATTCTTAAACTCCTCACAAATAATATTTAAACTAAATTAACTTTAACTCATATAATCTTTAGTGTTCTAAGGTAAAGATGAAAAATGATTGAAAAAAAAATTATAATCGTAGATACTTGTGTAACTTGATAAATATCTTAAGTAGGAGTTTTAAGTACATACGCCGTAACTTAAGTAAATGTAATATTAACAGTTTAAATAATTTACATGTTTTAATGGAATACCTACAAAAAAATATAAGAAATTCCTAATTTTAACACTCTTTTTTAACAATACGTGGCCTCAGACTAGGATTTTTCTTGGCTCCCGTGTCGTGTTTCCTTATTTTCACATACACATCACACTCAGACCCGGAACAACTTTTTGTGGGACACACAATGAGTTCTTCAGTCATTCCACTAGTTTGCAGATACAATAAAAATAAAATGTAAAAGATTACGCGCGAAATTCGTTATTTATTTGCTATATTGCTATGAAAAGGTATTTTATCCAATTTATTTCCTTTTTTTTAAACGAACAACGAGAAAATATCTTTTGGTAACTTTTAAAGCTCTGACATTTCGACATGTAAATAATTTAAACTGTTATCTAAACCTATGTATCGTATGTAACGTCAAAATATCTACAGCAAATATCAAAATGGCGATGATTCTTCTGGTTAGATCAACTTAAATTCAATATTTACCATTTTTTTAAAAACCAAATAAATACGTCAAATTACATGTCATTTCGATTTTAGTCATTGAAATAGTACCAAATTATAAGGCTTAAAACATTTAATATGATGCAATATCTATTAAAATCCATTTAGTAAAGTAATTGAAATCTTAAAAGTGATATCTGAATTTTTATCCTACCTGTTTTGGCAGTGTCATCAGAAAAATATAGCAATAGTTAATGGTCTCTAGCTCCCGTTCAACCTACCATTGTGTTGAACCAATGAAATTTTAACTCGTACATTAAAAAGTAATATTTGTAATATCATTGTAACTCTGTATCATTTAGCATCAATTTCTATTGATAATTAACTTAAAAAAGAATGTGTAGATGTGTCAATTATAAATTTATCTCATAATTTGCGTTGTAAAATTGTAGCCGATACTTATTACGTTATAATTTTACTCCGGACTTTGCTTTCAAGCTTCTAAATAGTTTTGTTTTGTTTCCCATATTCATAGACAGCAGAATTAGTCAAATCGCCGTGATTGGTCTAGATCTAGGTCTCAAAACCAATGATATGGCGGACTGCTATAATAGTTACAGTGCCCTTTTTTTTTGATGACGTGGGGAACCTTCAAAAGGCGCCCAGCCTTTTTGGGGATAAAAGACTAGGGACTTTTACCTCACTAAAACCACCCCGGTGGCCACCCTCAACACCTGAATGGAGGCACCGGGTCCTCTAAAAGAGACTTGCTCCGGAGCCTCCACGGTGCAACGCCGATAGTTACAGTGCCTAGCTGACAATAAGAGACATGACAACTAGACAACATAATACAAACAAAAATACGATTCCATGCAGCCCTTCAGGAGTTCGTTTCGATAAATTTATTGTTTTTTTTTTCTGTTATAAAACCCGTTTTAATAATCCGTAGTTGCAGTATTATTACATTTAAAATAAATTAGTTTTGGAGTAAAATTATCATGTAATTTCAAACATAATTCCGTCTGTCCAAAGTTAATAGAATATATCTATTTAGGTGTAACGAAATATTGTCATAATTTAAAACTTTTTTCATAAATGTCATCATTAACCATAACGATGACAGTTGGTCAACACTAGCGACTTAATTCATTATCTTTGGAATGTAGAAAAAAAAAGTAAATAAAATTGGTAAATAAAAATAGATAAAAGCATATTTAATTGTATTAAGCACGAGCAGGAACTGTTTTTTTTTACAAATAATTTACTTAAAAACATGTAGGCAAGGTGTTGGCTAACTGTTCATGAACCTGGATGAAATGGGGGAACCAAAACAGAAATATCAAGGGTTACAAAATGAATATAATAATAAGTAATTTGTATGATTAAACGCCGATTTTTCCGACGTCAGATAAATTTTAACTGAGGAATAACTTAATATTTGATAATTCTTCCATACTAAAAATTGTCAAATGTCAATTTTATTCT